GCGTAATAGTAAACACATCGAGGATGATTTCAATGAGGGCGCAGATCAAAGACCAGTTCTGTTTTGAAAATAAGGCAGTTAGCATCTATGACCAAGACTCCAAGCCAATCGTATAAGGGGTAAATGAACTCACCTGAAGTCGGCAGACAAGTGCATAGTCAACCTTCTGCGAGAATACTTCCGCTCTCTTGTTCTCGACGCAAGACCATCCCCACATGTCCTTGTTGTTGCTATTGTTGCGCGTAAACTGAAGGATACCTGCTGCAGCAGCCCATAGGATCGACGAGGCAATGAACCACCCAACTGCAAAGAGGGTGTAATAAACGCCGACCTTCTCAGCTCGGTGATGGCCTCCCCTGACGTAACCAACGAAGATGAGAATACAAAGGAAAAGATTGACGCCAGAGACCGAAAGAACGACGATCTGGGGCCACAGTTGGGTGCCTTCTGCCCACGCGGGTAGGCCACTCTGCGCCGCAAGATGATTTGTCGTACGGAATACGTTGAAGGAAACAGCAAGCAGGGAGATGATGATCAAGCTGCAGCTAAAGCTAATGCCACGGAGGGCAAATTTGGCCATTCTAACTCTATACTTCAGGCCCTACAAGGTAATCAGTAAGACGACGCAGATATCCCTGGGCGATTCCGACTTACCACATCCTTCCTTTGCGCTGCTTCGGTATCTTTCTCTCGGTTTTCAAGAATATCCTCTTCTCTGAATGTTGGGCTTAGAGGGTTCTCTAGTCTCCTTGCTGGCGTGCCAGGAATTCTCATAGCACTCTTCAAAGGTGATTTTGGTGTCATGGGCATGTTGACTGTTTGTGTACGGGTGTCATCACTGATATACCCAAAGCCTACATCGGCTGGTTGGGCTTGTATAACGTGAGAAGTATCATCACGGCTGCTAAATGGGTTGTTCGTTTGTGGCTCAATGGGAGAGTGTACTGTGGTCGCCTCTGCAAACCTAGGCGTCCTAGGCGGCTTCAGTGAGGATGTGGTAGTAAATGATCCATCTGTTGACGATGACCGCGACGGTGTCATGCTCAAGGCGGCAGGACGCCTCTTCTCATCTTGGGATGCCATTGTAATATTGTTTTTAAAGTGTGGTGAACAAAAAGAACAATCGATCGTCCCTGCGAGTCGACTACCTATAAGTGCTTCACGAACCAAGTCTTTGACTATGTGGTCCGAGATAGGATGAAGCAATCTTGAGAATAAAAAAGAGTATGGAGGCCAGCTATCGAAGAAAGAGAGTCTTCGAGGCCGGAAACGGGAGGAAGGTATAGGTTTTGAATAAGCGCCCTCGGCCGTTCTGGGAGCCCATCGACCTTCTCTCTAAGACTTCTGCGTAGACGGTCAGTGGGGATGGCACACCGCGCACCATGCAATGGGATCACCCACAGCGGGCTAGGGTCCTCGTGGTACGTCCAAAGGAGGGCGTCTGATAGGGCGGTTAGAGTGAACCCCAATCTCGAGTGGGCGAGTCTAGTGCGGGTAGACGCCGCCGTGGGTGACGGGCTGACGCCGCACAATGACTTTGATTGTATCGGGATTCTCAGATCAGCAAATCAACTCGAGCCTCACGTACGTACTGCTGGAACAAGTCGCGGATTCCAAAACACAGGATACCGGTAGGTAGATCAAGAACAAGTGAGGTTCCGGTGGTAGGAAAGGAGGGAGAAAAGGCGGTATATTTTGCGAGTGAGGGGGAATCGTGCTATCAGGAGAATATCTCTACGCATATGTACGTATAAAGTGAGCACTGGTCCTCAGAATCAAGGAATAATGCGGTATACCAAGTACTCTTACTATGTAGACCTAACCAAGAGGCTACCTCCCCTTCTCGACCTCTCGACAAGACAAATATTGGGTGATATTCCTTGCGTACTTACGCATAGGTAGGCAAACCAACGGTCGCTAAACTACCATCCTGGGGCAGATACTTACATACACACGGAAGACATGCTGAATTAGCGTTACCGCCCCCGTCACTACAACCGATAAGTCCAACCAGTTGGAGTGGTGATTTCCTGATGAAGTCGTGCACGACGGCTGAATGAATGGTCGAATGGCTCGAAAATGACCAGGATAGGAGCAAGGGGTCCCTGCTCGGCATCGAGCGGAGAGTTGGAGAAACGATCATGATTGGACGAATAGCCCGGAGGGGAGAAGCGGAGCATTTGAGCAGAGCGCTTCGCAGCCACGCTAAGACACCCCTGTCGACGATCCTCGCATCTCATAGGTAGAAACAGTCTGTGTGCTGCATATAAGTGCTCAAGCATGGACCAATCAGCACATCCCAAGACGTGATGTCGCCAACCACTTGCATCGATCAGGTCTGTGTCTGGGCGGTAAGGTAGGGTACTTTACTGAGTGGTCGGTAGTATTATGGTGCCTACTGTACCCAGCTAGGGACCATAATGCAGGCAAGCAAACCGCAAGATCCAGCCTCTCTCCATGTCTCCTCTCTCCTCTGCTCCCCAAAATCCCGCAAGTATGCGTATGCCCAATTAGCGTTGCTACCTTCAGTATGCTTTACTGTACCGCATGATTTATTGCATTTACTATGTATGTGAAAATCAACCAGGTACCAAGTTGAATCCTTCGTTTTAGTTAGCGTCACCATAAGTATGGAACAACCCGTCAACGGAAGCCTATGCAGTGTATGCGTAAGTATGGCACTCTAGAGAGGGACTCGCTCTGGTGGCCATCACCATCGGCTGCATGGCCGCTCAACCGGCACGTTGAACAAGTCTTACTTAACCTAGCTAAGGTAGCATATCAACGCTACCTGCATATCATCGCTAGTGAGTCTTGGGATTTGTCTGGATCCCGAGTGCCCAGCAGCGAGGCACTACCACACCCATACAACATACACTACACACCATAAGGATATTTTTAGAAATTTTTTTTTTCGACCGTAGCTAGTATATAGTGAGGTGAGCCCACTGTCTATCTAGAAGAGATCAGGTTGTAATATTGTGTAACAGTACAGTATGATACTATTTGTTTAGGGCTGTGCCTATCTAACCCCCATAATCATCGCCTTCGTCAACCAGTACTCCTTTTCAAGCTGTACAGAGGCATCGTTGAGGGGAGATGGAGCTGATGATCGTGAGGCTAAGGAGCCTTGTCACCACCCCGAGGCTAGAGATATATTTAACCTCAAGCGAAAGCAGGTATTCGCGACTTGATAGTGGAGGGTATAGAGAATCACATACTACTTCCTAGGATACCATCAGCTATGTATGCTGACTGCTTCTAGTAACAAGGCTACTTTTTCCGGTTCGGTAGGATGTTCTAGAACTACTACGACACGTATGGGAGCCTTTGACGTATGGCAAATAGTCTAGTGATACACGTCAAGCCCGGTGGTAGCTATTCGGCTGTTACCCCTCCATCTTGGAATTCGTCATAGATGTTCCTGTGGTCATCATATGCTGAACAACGAGAAGTTTGTGACCTAAGAATAGAATCTAAACTCTTTATATGTTGTTGCGCACCACTACCAACAACGTAAAGTCAACCTTCAGGCATAAGCACTCGCGATTGGTGCAAGCATTACAGTATAGGACAAGTACTATTATCTATGCTGGCTCTTGGTTAACTACTAGCGACGACTATAGGAATCGACAAAAGCGATACATACTATGTAGAAATTAGTAGTGCTTACTGAATAGTGCAGGTTATAGAAGACGCACATATATGAGTGTGTGTTGCATCTGTCTTGTATGTTTCAACACACCACGAAGATAGTCAGGTTTCATATATACTATTCTTATACACTTGCACTTATATTCGGCTTGAGTAGACATCTAGTCCTACGCGGGTCTTCACTACTCAGTAGAGCCTAGTGATCATGGCCGATACAATAGCTTTTTACTCACTTTTCTCGTCAGGTAAGCTTCCGGCACATCCCGAAAGCCTCCCAGTAGAAGTGATACGCTCTAAGAATCTGTTTATCCCTTGGTTAGCCGATTTAGAAGTAGAAATTATATACATACGCGAATGAGTAGTAGGTAAAAACAACATGATATCTTGCGCCCAAGCCTACGGAAGATAATGTATATTACATATTGTATCCTATGTGATTATGTAGTGATTCAAGGTGAATTTCATCGTAGCACGAATATAGAATCGATTTATTAAGTGTACATCTCTCTCTCTCTCTCTCTCTCTTATTTATCAACTAGTCTTCACCAGAATACATGGCCAGTATATGAAGGGAGGAGAAGTGAAAATTTAAATATTGGCCTGGGATGGGAAATACAACACCGTTAATCCATAAACGATTTAACCATATATATATAACACCTGTGATAGAGCCTCATTGTAGATTGATATTCTCTAGTGACAAGTACTATCACAATATCTCTTTCTATGAACGCGGTAGTTTCGTCATCCGCTTAGTAAAGTGGCAGGACAGTGTGACTTAGAGAAAGTAACTTGGATATACTTAGGGCCCTTATTTAAAATCGAGGAATTATGTACTTGTCGAAGTCCTACACGTACACGTACACGTATGAGTTGACATACGTAATTGAAACATCCTCACATTGGTAAAGGGAGAGAACCCCCGAGGCTCGAAACAGCCTTAATCCTTGAGAACGACCTGTCGGGTTGGATTTACTCGGGCTGACAAGAATGCCGTCTACTAGGATAACGCCTGTAAGTGCGATGATTTTCAACTAGGCTTCCAGGTACGTTCAGGTGCCACGTCGTTTGAGCTACGATCTTAATGTCTAGCCTAACATCCTATCAAAACATCCCATTAAAACATCCCATCGCCTGATAGACAACTTACACATATATTGATCGTTCCGTCGCTCCGTGTTCGGTCCACCACGCGCTCCGGGCGGTCCGGCAATCGGTGATCCAATCCTCTCTTGCATAGAGCCCAAAGAGGGTCAAACTAAGTGCCCTAGTGTCTACTTAAGCAAACCTAAAGCTCGCTGTTTCCAACAAGCAATTGTCTCGCCAGCGAACAAGCATGAGCAATTGGCCTCGTGGCCCAATGGCAAGGCGTCTGACTACGATCAGAGTTGATGGGATGTGATGATTATCAGGAGATTCTGGGTTCGACCCCCAGCGAGGTCATATTTTTGTTCTATTTCTTCTTTTTGTACCTCATACATGTGAATTTCTATTTTTTTTCTTCTCCCCCTCTAGAAATATTTCTATCTTCTAGGTAATTGTGTTAGTGCCGTGTCACGTGCTTTATTCATTCTATTCATAAATGTTATAAAATTTTGCCTTGTTGCAAACATTGCATTGTGTCCTGCGTGGCCTGCTGGCGGGATTAGAGTATCACATAGGTATACGACTCTCAAACCAATACGATGGCCAATGAAGACACGAATAGCCTGGATGGTGCATCAACACCAAGGGTGTGGGGGTTCTGCGCATGTGGGTATTATTTTCTGTTGTCATTAGATTAAATTCATTCTAGGGTATCCTTCATTATTTCCTCGTCTTCCGCGCGTGCTTCACAAGATTTTCTATGACACCCTCAAACGCCTCCCTGTCGCCGATTTTCTCATCAGTGCGCTTCTTCCAGAATTCGTGCACTTCGCTTGCTAAGATCTCCATTCCTTTTAGCTTCTTCACGTGTTGCTGAAGTTCAATGTCGGTCATTCCTCTCAGCGCCTCATCTGTCGTGGCGCATAATTGCTTCGACGCAACCAAATCGAATTCCGGGACTTGAGGAGAGACTTTCCGCTTTTTCGAGCCAGATCTGGGTTTCTCCTTACCCTGAGAGTCGACTGAGACAGACGATCTGTTGGCGTCTGATTTCCGTAGTCGAGATACAGAACGCGAATCTGTAGAAGTCCGAAGAGAACCGGTTGACGTGACTCGGTGAAGGGATGGTAAAACCAGTTTTTTCTGTTTAGATGCAGGCAGAATCTCGTCTAGATCTACAGGCACTCCGAGCGATACTAAGAAAAGTCTCCTGATACGGGAACGGATCCAATCGGGAGGCTGAAGAGGAGGCGGCGCAGCCAACTGTGACCATAATGATGCACTCCTCGGGTTGAAAAATATGGGATTGTCATTCGGAGGTGAGGGTAGAGGGGGGATCTCGAGAACATCAGGCGGGTACAATGCATCCAAGTAGGGCTTAGAGGTGGCCAAGATGTCTTCAGAGTCTAGCCCGTCAAGATCTAATATTGGCTTTGAGCACATAGAAGTCAGTATAACTGTGATAATGCTATCTAAGGAGGGTACTAGACACACAAAGGAAGGTATAGAGACTTGTGGCTGGGTTGTCAGCGACTGAGCGGTTGTAGGTGCTTCGGCCTGCTGAAAGCCATCATCAAATTCGCCGAAGTCCGCATCTTCGTCGCCCTCTTCAAACTCGTCAAAATCGTCACCAAAATCTTCATCATCGTCATTCGTCTCCTCGTCGCGAAGACTTGTTATTGATTTGGCTACTGAAGATTTCCTCCGTCTATGCGTCGACGGGGACTTCAAAGCTTGGTTCACGGCCGTGTCATCTACGAAGGCACGGTCAATCGCAGTGTGGATTTTGAGAGGGCTTGGTTGTCGTACCGGTGACTTGTGTATTGGCGTCTAGGGAAGCTGGAATAGGGCTGGCCTTGCTCGTATCATCTGGCTTCCGAATCACATCTGGCGCGGCATCTGCCTGATGCAGGTGGTCGTGATGGTCATGAGTCAAGGATCCCGGGACATCGTTTGTCTCATCAACAACCGTTTTAGGAACAGTAGTGATTCCAGGCGTAGCGGCTTGGCTGGGCGTAGGCGGAGACGGATCGTCTTGTACAATAGCTATTTCATCAGGTGAGGCATCTTCTGTCCGCTTGTCATAGGCTTCCGTACCAGGGACTTCCCCGTAGGAGGGTTCATCATCTACTTTCTCGACGCGGGTTCTGGGTATGGGAGAAGCGGCCCCAGTACTCGTCCCAGGGACTGACTGAGCATCGGAATAGTGCTCATCTGAATCGGATGCTTCTGCAGCCACACATGTTAGGCTGTGAGGGAAGAGGTTGGACCTGGAAGATGTGCTCACCTAACTCGTGCGCCCCGGGGTCCTCAGTCCCTGTCCTCTCGGGAGCTTCAAGACTAGAAGAAGGTCTGCGCTCCCCAGACATGTCGGGAGATGTACAGAATAGTGGCCAGATACCAAGCCCCAATACAGTGCAGGACTATATCGCACGCTTCGCGACCATGCGTTAACCAGCGCCCGGAATATAGGACAGTATTGGGCTCGAATGCTTGAGCGTGATAACACGAGACGGCTGAGGGGCAGAGGAGCTGAAGTGCCGAGTAGATAACTGCTCGGCGGGCAGAGAGACAGAGAGGATTGAGTTCAAGTAGCTAATGAATAAGGGTGCAGAGAAGCTTTGAGGGAGATGGGTCGATTGCTAAGGCTGAGGGTAATTGAGGCTTATACCTAGGTACCTATTCGGAAAGAAACCTAAATTAATAGGACTCTTAATAATTCTGCTCCCTTAAGGGTAGGTGATACTTAGGATCGGGATTGTGGTTAGGGGATCGGAGACATTGGATCTTCTCCTTGGATGGGATGATGAAGCTGGAGGAGGTGCACAGTATGGCTTCTGGATCGATCGACTTACAGCATACATAAGCGGTCTAGACCGCTCGGGCCAGTTCTATAACCTGTAACGGAAGAGCTTACAGGAGGCCCGTGGCAGGCCTACAAGGTGTACAGTACAGTACCTACAGAATAGTTGCTAAGTACCTAGGTACCTACCTAAGTGTGGCGTTAAATATAGTGGTCGGGGCGTGCTGTGGCTTAAGCTCCAGTTTCTCAAACAACTGTCAGCCACCTGGTCTGACTGGCTCAGCTGCCTGTAGCGGCGCGTAGCGTACTAGCCTGCCGATGAGCTTGTCGCGCCAAAAAGTTGACCGTATTCGTGAAGGTACCTACCTATCTAGGGAGTCTGGATATTATTTTCTAGAGTCTAGACTGCTAATGTGACGGAGGTGCTGGTCAACCCAAAAGTCCTTTCTCGCCTCACCCATCACCCATCGTCCATCATCTACCACTGTAGACAGATCGCACTTGCGTGTTCCTCCCTACCTTTATCTACGAAGCAAGACATCTATCCAATTCACCGACTACCCAATCTATCTAACCCTGTCGATTCTTAGCGGCCTGGGGATGAGTGCGTGTCTCTAAGGGCCGCCGATTGAGCTCTCACGTTCCATCTTCACACACATAACCAACCGCCTCCGTGTCCGTCGCAGCCGCTTTCCCGCGGAACAAATAATATTTCACAATGTCCCTCTTCGGCACCCCCAGCTCTTCCGGGCAACCCAACAACAGCGCAACCACCTCGAGCGCGCCAGCGGCCGGCGGATTGTTTGGATCGTCGACAACACCCGCAGCCCCGTCGTTATTCGGTAACCAGGCAAAGACCACTCCTACTTTCTCCTTCCAGAACTCTACTGGTGGAGGCAACAGCGCCACACCTGCTTCGTCGGGCACTCTGGGTGGAGGAAGTGTATTTGGCAGCACAGCTACAAAGCCGGGCGAACAGAAATCACTCTTCGGCGCCACCCCTGGCGCATCTACACCATCTTTAGGCGGAGGGGCTAGCAGTAGTCCCTTTGGAGGCTCATCGCTGACACCGTCAAGCACCAGTTTGTTCGGAAGTAAGCCTGCGGCAGCACCCACGGGAACGGGTACTGGCCTCTTTGGCAACACGCCCGCCGCCCCGAATGCCACCGCAACAAGCACGACACCGACGACAGCCACGGCTCCTGGCACTAGCATATTTGGGCAGGCTAGCAGCCTGGGAACTGACCAGGGGACCGGTGTTAACAAGCCGGCTTCACTATTCGGAGGAGGAGGAGGCGGCAGCGGTGGCACTACCGGAGGTTCTTTGTTTAGTAACACAAGCTCTAACACCGCTTCTACTACCCAGGCAACACCCGCAAAGCCCATGTTTGCCCTTAATTCCACAACACCCGCTGGTGCGCCTCCAGCAAATACTTCCAAGCCGCCCAGTGGGGTAGGTCTTTTTGGTGCTACCGCTGCCGCAGCCACTGCGGCTCCAAGCGGCCAATCCTTGTTTCAGCAAGGCCAAAAAAGGGAGAACCAAACGACCAATCTGTTTGCCAACCAGGCTAACTCGCAGCCAAAACCAGCAACAACCCCAACTTTGTCATTTCCCGCCGCTGCTGCTGCAAGCCAACCTCAGAAACCAGCTGCATCTCTCTTCGGCGCCGCGAAGCCAGCTGAGCCTTCCTCGATGTTTGGTGCAAAGCCGGCAACTACCGAGGGCGGCGGCTCTACGGGGGCTTCGAGCGGTCTTTCACTTTTTGGACAACAAGGCCAATCCAAACCTGCCGAGACCGTCCCCTCGGCAACCAAGCCCGCTTCTTTGTTTGGAAATGCCACTGCTTCGACAACGTTGGGAACCTCGCCATTCCTCAGCTCTGCCAGCACGACTCAGACACCCAGTACTTCGACGCCTGCGCCTGCGCCTGCCGCATCGCAGACCCCCTCACTTTTCGGAAATGCAAACAAGCCCGCCACTAGCGCAACTACCACTGAGCCCCCCAAGCTCCAGTTTGGAAAGCCTGCTGCCCCTATTACCGCTTCAGAGGCCCCAAAGCCTCTAAGTCTATTTGGCTCGACGCCGACGTCGACTGCGACTCCTTCCACAACCACAACCGCGGCCCCTGCCACTACTACAGCTTCGGCCACGACCACCGCAGCCTCGACAATATCACCGTTTGGTGCCGCCGCCCAAGCCACACCGGCTGTGGAATCAACAGCACCCAAGCCTACAACCACTCAGACCACTAGCCTCGGCGCATCAACGAGTGGCCCGACTTCATCCATGGCGCGTCTGAAGAATAGGACCATGGATGAAATCTTGAGCCGTTGGGCCACGGATTTGTCTAAATACCAGAAAGAGTTCAAGGAGCAAGCTTCTCAAGTTGCCGCTTGGGATCGTTTGCTGGTTGAGAACGGCGATAAAATTCAGCAGTTGTATCTTAATACGTTCGACGCAGAGAAGGCTTGCCGTGAAGTTGAGCGTCACTTAGTGACGGTAGAAAGCCAACAGGACGAGCTGGAGGCTTGGCTGGACAAATATGAGGGGGAA